GGCTTCAGGGATTCTTTTCCAACATGACAGCGCATCGCCTTCCCTCCGTGGTTAGCCGCAGCACCACTCTCCTACGTGTTATGTTGCTACTGTGTTTTGCAGTGTTCAGAAGTAGAGTAACAAAGCCAAGGGTGTTCGTTTGAATGTAATAATGTAAAACCTCTCATGGTCATCAAAAGAACAACACACACACCTGGGGGTCGAGCCCCCAAAACAGCAAACCAGCCAACCAGCCCAGCCCGTTGCAGTCCACGGATGGATGGACAGACGGATGGACCCAGGGGCTGCAGCGGGCACAACGCTCCCACCGGGCAGGGGCAGCGCAGGCAGTGCTCTGCCCGCAGAGGGCTCCTGCACCACGAGCCCAGGGGCTCCCGCTTCCTCCCTCGCATGCCAGCAGCGCCCCGGCACGTGGCTCCCCGGCCCTCCTGCCTTGAGAAACCTTTCTTGCCGCAGGGGGGAGAGCACGACGCCGGTTCCCCGGCTGCCCTCGCAGCTGCAGGTGCCCCCGGCCCCAGCGAGGCAGCAGCACCCCGACGTACACCCCATCGAGGGGACAGCACACGTGCAGCCCTGCTCGTTAATCTGACCGAGGGCTTATCAATTGCCTAAAACCCCTTCTTGCTTTATCTGCAACCTTCGGTTTGCACAGCTGGGGCTGGGAAGCCCCTGCAGGGGCAGCGATGCTGTCTGGGGATGCAGCGCGGGAACGCAGCGCGGGAACGCAGCACAGGGCTCTCGTTTGTCCGTAGACAAAGGTCAGGGAAGAAAGGCAGTCACGTTTCCTTCTGCTGCTCCATCTTCTCCTTTCCCAGAGCCAGGGCGAGCGTACAGAGGCAGCTCACGCCTACCTGACAGCAAAGGAAAGGTTTCCAAAGGCAGGAGGGGTTTAATCCTGCAGCCCAAGGAATCAGTCCCCCGGAGTCCTGCCCCTTCCCGGCAATCAACACGCTTTTCCCGAAGTCGCCCAGCATCCCGCCTCTGTTTGGGGGGTTTTGGGGGTACAGAGCTACCGTACGGTTTGTAACATGCTACACGTGAAGCACAGCATGTCGCGGATGCTCACCGCTGTCCTCGCGCCTCTGGTTGGGAAGCGGCTGCGCCGGGCTCGGTGGCCTTGGCACGGCTCTGGGGACCGCTCGCCCCTGCGCCCTGCCCCGGGGGAACGCGGCCCCGCTCCCCCACGATTTCTTTACAGGTTTTTCAATGGTTAGATCGCAAAATAAGGCAGAGATTTCAAATACATCCGAGATATTTTTTACACCTGTCTTGTTACAGAATATCCAAAGTGCATGATTTCTACACGCATTGAGTACCCGGACCCAGACCCTGAGGAAGCAGGCTGGCTCGGGAACTCTTACAGTTTGGTAACATTCATACAGTGGATAAGCAAAGATTATCAATAAACGGTTGTGCTGAAATCAGAACGGGCTCTGCCTGCTGGTGTAACCAGTCCAGGGTGAGGGTCCTGAGACTCCATCTGGAGCACTGCCTCCAGCTCTGGAGCCCCCAACATAGGAGAGACACGGAGCTGTTGGAGCGGGGCCAGAGGAGGCCCCGGAGATGCTGGGAGGGCTGGAGCCCCTCTGCTGGGAGGACAGGCTGGGAGAGTTGGGGGGGTTCAGCCTGGAGAAGAGAAGGCGAAAAAGGGGAG